AGAGTAAACATTTTGAAGCCAGAAATACAAATGTTCAGTTGAAACAACAGAAAATGTTTATTAAAGTACATGTTTTCCTAATTTCAATTTATTTAGTGCAAAGCTGGAAGGGGCTCTTTGGATTTGCAGCTCCACTGATATATTTTAAACGATAAACTATTGCCATGCATTTTGTTTTTGTATTGGTCTTTAAATCATGAAAAAGCGACCCTGGAAATTTGTTCTCTAACCACCACCGTTAAATTTATTTTATAACTCGTTGTAGCTTAATCCCAATCATGCAAGTCTTCTTTAAGTCTTTTGACAATTACCTAATTTGGTTTCAATCAAGTCTTTGATTGGGGCATTCAAAAAAATATATGTATACTTTTATGTGAACTTTTTCATTGTGGCTCTGGCTATAGAGACTCAAGTTATTTGCAGCTTTATGTTTAAATTTGCAGAATTCCTTTTCATAATGGGCTTTCGATCAGCCTCTGCTGAAGCAGAGGACCCCCACAGCCTAATACTACCAGCACCATGCATCATGGTGGGAATGATGTGTCCATGATGTTGTACAGTGCAGATTTTCAAATATATGTTGTGTTTTTCATGTAAGCCAAAATGTTCAGCTTAACTGACATTAGCACATGGTGAGCTACACAGTTTAATAGAGCATTCCAAATTATTTCAAGACATATGACATTTTTAGAGTTTAGGAAATAGTAGTGAGTTGAAAGGAAATGCAAAACAAATTGGAGGATGCGGCATAACTACAGCTGAGCTAGAAATTACAGTACATAGCCATTTGCGAATGATAAAAAGAAGACTACATGCCTTCTTTTTAAGGCATGACTAATACATGAAATCCCTCCTTGAATTAGAACATAATTGGGCTGTTATTCTTTTCATTTGGAATTGTGGAGCTTCACTTAAGAAAAATACAGAACTCTGGTTAAAAGTAGGATTAGTCCTCCAAGTTTGAGGGAAGCAGAGTGAAGTGCATTAATGCATGACAGATTTGATGAAAGGGGACTGCATTCAAACATAATAAAATACCACATTAAAATGAACTTGAGCAATTTCATAATGATTCTCCCCTATTAGCAATAATATCGGCTGAAGTGACTTCTGCTTTTTGTTGTGATCCTTGCCTAGAGGTTGAACGAAGAAAAAAAAAATCGCACTGAAAATGAGGTTAATCCTCAAAAGGTGTGTGAGGAGTTTCAACAAGCAGAGCAGAGTGCTGCTGCTGACGTCAAACGACTGAACATAACAATGTCCAAGTCCCTGGATGGGCAGTATAGTGTATGTGATGGAGAGGTGAGAAGAAAAATTAGTTTGCTCTATAACGTGTTAAAATAAAGTTGACTATTTTGACTATGTCTATGGACATGAAGACATTAGAATCTATATGGTCAATGCCTTTTTTCTGCACTGTAGTGAACATTTTGTCTATTTTTCTAAAGTTGTTGGAATTAGTAAATATGTGTCTAATTTACAAGAAAGTAAAATTGAACGTTTTTTTAGAAGGTGCATTAAACCAAATGGTTCCTATAACAAGCTATTAGAATGCTTATTCAGATGTGTTGCTATGCTGATGATGTTGCTATAAATCAGAAAAGTTATTTTCAAATGCTTTGAAATACTATGGTCAAGCTGTGGCGTTAAGCACCACTGGCGTAATGTTCTGAATAAATTCAGCTATTTTTCATTTGTAAAGTCAATGTAAAACAGCTCATTATGATGTTGAGCTCACAAGCTACCGAGGTGAGCTGTTCAAGCACATCGATCGGAAACTTTTGCCTGAATAGGGGGAACATTATCTGAACTCCCAGTAAAAATTAAAGTGGCAGACAGAGAAGCAATGTTTTCTGGTGGCTATGTCTGCCTTGTTCCAAAAGCCAGATCCAGGAAGGACAGCACATTCTCCAGTCTGAAAACCAAAGAAAAGTTCTGATGAAAGTGCTCAGGGAACAGGTTTCCAAATCTTAACAAAACCAATTATTTTTCTCCCTGCATATTGTTTCTTTCAAACTGAATCATGTTCCCATAAGCTCTCTCTTATTCTCTTTTTATACTGCAGCTATCACTAAATCATCAGCAACGCTGAATATTGAGGTCTGGGTTGACTTTACAATATATTTATTGTATCTTGTAAATTCTGACACCTTTTGAGTAAAAACTAAAGCGCAAACAGCATTTCCTTCCTCAGGTAAACCTGCTATATCATTTTTTTTTATTTTGTTGTTCTTGCTTTTCTTTAACAAGCCAGCAGCATCAGTTTCAGACCTACTTCAGAGCAGGCTTGGTAGAACTGTGCCCAATGTTCTATATACTGTAATTCTCCATATTTTTGACATAAATACGTATCATTTGAGTTTGGGGCCAAAAATAAGTGACATTTTTTTAAAACCATTTTAACTTTAAAGACCCATACTAATAAAATATTAAATAATTAAATAGATCACAACATGGATCATTGAATAATATATAATTAGATATAACTTTCATCTCATTCAAAACTTCCTTTTGGTCTCTTATATCCATGCAACATAGAACTATGCATATGAGCCTGTTTGCCCAGAGTGTAAGTGGATTAAAGGTCACATTAACCCCGTTATTTCCCCCCGGCTGCTGCCTCTAGCTTTACATCCATTAGCCATCTTGCAGTTCTAATATTCCCTATACACTTTAAGTCCTCTTGCTCATAACGATACAGCTTTACTTAACCAACTTGATTGAATTTTACACACCAAATGTCAGGAGCTTAGAACGTGTGACCCTGAACTCAAGCTGACAGATCAGGGTGATTTCCAAACAAGCGGTTATGAAAACATAAATGTGCAGCTGCTCGTCAGCTGGGGCGGGTTCACTGGATACTCTAAAGAGATAGAAACTCTTGGAGGACGGTTTCTCCAAAGCTTGAAAAAGGAGCAACCCCCAGAGTTCTGAGGGATGAGCTGAGCAGACTAATGAGCAGACGCCAGCCAACGCCGATGAGCAGAAGTATCCGTATCCGCCAAAGCCGAAGTAGTAGTAGAACCAGATGACCAGAGCAGAAGATCAGAGACCCAAGGAGGTAGCAGGATGGTAGGTTAGGATCCAAGGTAGGATCCAAGCCGAGGTCAGAAGAGAGGTACAAGTTCGGTAAGACGGCAGAATACAGAAATCTGTCCAGAACAGATCAGACTAGCTGAGCAATACAGGGGCAAAGCAAAACTTGCAAGTCCCAAAAGCAGAAACAGGTCAAGATCAGAAAATTTGAATTTAAAAGAATGCTAGAGTTACTCTCACACATAGCTTGAATAATCTGGCACCGATGGCAGGCAAACAGGCAGCATAAACAGCAGCAGGAACCAGTTGGATCTGATGAACGGTAACGAACAACCGCGCAGATGAGACTAATACTATGACACCAAATCTATTCTGTAAGATTATTATAATATCGTACAGTTTATTATACTATGCACACTACTTGTGCATGTGTATACTACTTAGATAGCAAAAATGTGCAATTGGTAGTTTTTATTGCATTTTTATTTATCTTAATTGGCATTTTTTTCATGCCAGTAAACATTAACAACAACAAAAGAAATATTAAGATAATATGGAGGAAAAATGTGTACATATGAACTATACGACATAACTCAAGAACCCTCTCCTCTTCAGCTTGCCAGGCAACCATGTAGAGTTTATTTCATTTCATATCTCAAAGGCATTGTAGGCTGGAGCATCAACAATGTTGTGGAAGATGACCAGGGACCAGCGGGCAGTTATCCCTCCACAGCTGTAGAAGGGACACCTCCTTTGTTGCAGTTGTAATTTAAGAGGAGGGTTAGCATCCTGGCCTAATTATTGCTAATGTCAGGTTTTGTCTGCAACGTCCTCATAGGTACTATATACTTGTTTTTCTTTGGGAGATAGAAAACCAGAGTGGTGGTGGGTGTGAAGGCAAACCTTCATGAGAGGATGTCTCTCTCTTTTGATGCAAGCAGTGCAGGTCAAGCTTGTTCTTTCAAACAGTGCCAATCATGGTGATCTCCCTTTTCAGGAGCCGCTGTCGTACTTTGAAAGAGGTGAAGAAACTATCACATCTGACATTGTGATCCCCCTCTACAGAATCAAGCACAGCCTATATCCCCTGGTTTTTCTCTTAGCCTACACTGGCTGGATTTCAGGTGTGGAGTTGCATCTTCCAAGAGTAGCTGGATTTAGCATTGCTGGCCACCCATAATTTAACCACATATTTGGCTGGCTTGCTGGCCGTCTACTACCTTTGAACAGAAGAGATTAGCATCAGTAATTAGTGTGTCACAAATTACTAATGCTAGTACAGGTATGAAAATAAAATATGGAATGGAACTAGCTGCCAATCCACTGTTACGTCAGAGCCTGGGTTGTACAGGTGTGTCCGCCGTTCCATTCACTCTTCCCAGACCTTTTGTATGGCTGCCAATTTGTCTCTGTGGTTACCATTCAATCCAACAAGAGACTCTCCATGCTCCAGCATTTCTATACCAGCTGATCTACAGTGACACCTGTTGGCTGGCAGTGTGCAGGCAGTGCTTCCTGATGGAGAAGATCTTAGAACTAAAGCATTTTCACATCTTTTCGGTGTGTAACTTGACTCTGTGACTGGGATTTTAATGCAGCATGACTCTTGGGTCAAAATGACCCAAAGAGCATATTTTACCTTTTTTCTGAACAGCTTTTATGGGATGATAAAAGGATAACATTTTACGTTTTCTAGTGCTGGGGTCAGTCTAGGAAAAGCCATCAGAATATATAAGGTGTTTTTCTGCTTATAAACTCAGGTTTCAGGTCATCATGACACAAAGTTAACAGGAAGGTGATTTGCATTTTTAATGAAGCGTATTTGTTTTAAACGCAGTGACTAGAGATTTTAGTGCAATATGTTATTCTGCAACACATCTGAGATATAAATCAGATTACTGACGACACGGGTCTCTCGCTCTCTCTCTCTCTCTTTCTCTCTCACTCTTCCAAGAGCAGATATCTCACATTCTAGGGTGCATCTGAGTCTGAGGTGCCTCCTGTGCAGCAGCTGTGAGCTCTCACTAAGGCTTTCCACCTGCCTGAGCGCAGGAGGAACACCAATGTGTGGCTTTTAAAGGGAGACGTCGTTTTTTATTCTGCTGACTCAGAAGGCACAGAGTTAGGGTTGCTGTTTACCACATGAGGCAACAAAACTGGAGGTAAGAACTCCTTCTGTATTTAACTTTTTAAAGTGTTTAACAAGAGCAAAGCTTAGACCTGTTATTAGAATAGCTCTCTTGAAAAAAACTGATTATTACAGATTAGTATGATTATTACTTATCTAACAATATTATTCAATCAAAAAAAATTATTACTTTGCAGATTTTACTATTAAAAGATTTTCATTCATCTTCATTAAAAGGACGTCATCCCAGAAAAATAATACTGCATAAATTATATCTTTTTAAATTTTAATGCAACATGTCAGTTATTTTTTTGTTTGTTTTCTTCCCCCTATATTTTTCATAGATTGTAGCAAGGGATGTCGTCCAATGAGAGCTCAGAAACTCGATACAGGTCAGAGGTCAGAGGCTCCAACAGCACCCTCTGTCATAGGGAGCTGTCTGTGACAGCGTCCGTCATCTCCATGACTGTGGGTATTTTCTCCAACAGCTTTGCTCTCTTCATTCTGATAAAATCCTATAGTCGCCACCGAATCAAGTCCAAAGCATCCTTCCTGCTGTTTGCCAGCAGCCTGGTGACCACCGACCTGCTGGGTCACCTCATCAATGGCTCCCTGGTACTTCACGTTTACCGTTTTCACAGGAAGTGGGACACTTTCGATCCACATGGCATCGTGTGCAGCATCTTTGGAGTGTGCATGGTGTTCTATGGTCTCAGTCCCTTGTTTCTGTCAAGTGCCATGGCTGTAGAGCGCTTTATCGGAGTAACTAAACCTATCTTCCACTCAACAGTGTTGGCCTCCCACCACGTTAGAAGGCTGCTTGGGTTCACCTGGCTGCTTGCTGCCATTGTGGCTTTGTTGCCTTTGCTGCTGAGGAGACCCTATGAGGTCCAGAGCTCCAGGAGTTTTTGTTTCTTTCACATGGAACACCCCAAAGACTGGTTAGATATACTGTTGCCACTGATCTTTTCTGTTCTTGGTTTGCTGGCACTGCTGCTCTCCATTGTTTGCAATACTCTGGCAAGCTGTGCCCTGCTGCAAGGCAGACTGCGGCACAAACACGGCTGCAGGGGAACATCCTACCACTTGGAGATGATCTGCCAGCTGCTGGCTATCATGCTGGTGTCCTGCGTGTGCTGGGGGCCATTACTGGTAAGCCCTTCCTCTCAGTGCATCCTTACTTGGGACACTCTCTGTGAAGGAATCCATTATTTTACATGTGCCATTTCCAGAGGCTTAATTAGTTATTTATTCTTTAGCACAAAAAGTTTCAAGAGTTAGATGAAAATTGGTCACACAGTGCTGCTTTACACCTGCTTCACATTAAAAACCCAGTGCAATGAAATAAATATTTATCTTTATAGTCTTTTTTTCTTTAAACATTTGCAAACCTGTTTCTATAAATGAATGCATCACTATGAATCCAAAAATATTATTGTTTTTAATGTGTTTTGGATCATTGCCCTACTGATACACCTAGCTGTGTCCAATTTTCCACTGTTTAACCAATGATTGGAATCAAATCCCATATCTGGATCCCCCTGTTATTCCATCAACTTTGGTGGTGTAATAAAGCCAGTGTTAGAGGTAGAAAAGATACCCTTATTATGATAATGCTTGACAGTAAAGTCTCACTGTGACTCCTGCAGAAATTAAATTAAATGTTACCATATTGTTAAAATAGCTCAGTGTTCTTCTCATCTGACCATAAAACATTTGTAACAGATTGATTTTTTGTTTGTTTGGGTTGATGTTCTTTTTTTTTTTTTGACTTTTTTTATGGCATTGCAAGAGAAAATAACTATAAATAAAGTTATTGAAAAAAGAAAGGAGTTGGTTTATACGTGTAGGTAGCAAAAAATGTTGATTCTTCTTAAAGATGAGGCTTTTTTATGTGAGATTTTCTTTTGGTGGCAAACCTACATCATGATAATAACTTGTTCCACTGTGGACATGGATAGAAGCATTCTAGTATTATTTTAGTGTATGATTTTCTTCATCTTTACTGGTTACTGGGTTATTTCAGACTAGTCTCCTTTCTTGTAAAACTTTCATATAGTTGGGTAATAACCCTGAACACAAATTGAAGCTAGTTTTAGAATTGACAATACAGCTTGTGGAATAACCAAGACCTCAACCCTATTAATTGTGCTTAAAAATTTTAGTTTAACTGAAAATACAGACTATTTTGTGCATAAGACAAAAACGACTATGCAAGTTTCACATGAAACCTTTTTCTTGCAATAATAAAATGGATTGTTTTGTTTTTCTAGAAAATAACTGACCAAGAAACACACATTTCTTCAACTCTGTAGCCTTAGTATTTCACTAGTTTTATTATTCTGTGTTCCATATTTATGTTGCAGGTCCATGTCATCATTCTGAGCACTAGAGCTAAAGAGGAATCCTCCAGCTTCAGTCTGTTGACAATGGTACGGATGGCCACATGGAATCAGATCTTGGACCCCTGGGTCTACATCCTATTGAGAAAGGCTGTTCTGAGGAAAATCTTCATGTTGTTTCACAGCTGCTGGGGCTCAAAGCTTCACACCTTCCACCGCTGGCAGCGCAGCACGCTCGGCAGCTCCGGGGAGATGAGCAAATCTGACTGCCTCCGCTACAGCAGACAGCCCCTTCCAGACACTACCATCCAATTCATCACCTGAGTCCTGATCGGGAGCCTTTAATTGAAATGATGTGTCAGAATTAAAACATTATTGAGTGACTACACAGACGACAGTGGCATTCTTCCCTAAACAAGGTGGCATTAACAGATCTCTGAGAATCATTATCTCTACTTTGTTGCATAAGCTGCTTTTAACTATGTGGATATTTTTGAGGATTGTTTGCAGGAAATTTAATATCTATATTTTTGTGTAGAAACTCATTGTAACACAATGACATGTAATGGGTATGCATGAATGCAACAGAGTACCATACTTGCATGAAACCAAACAAAGCAAAAATAAATGTCTGCTGATCTAAGTGGTCAAGTTTGTTTAATCAATACATTTTGGAAGTGAAAATGTTCCTTTATTTTAATTACAAAAAGTGATTTATTTTAGCTGCAGCAGAGTGAACAAAAATTGGTGTTGATAGCTGACCTTTTATTTTGTATTTTACACCTGTGAAAGGGTCCCACTTGTTAATGCAGTAATAAAATAAACTCATACAAAGTAAACACAGTGTGGTTTCTATGTTATCATAGGCAGTGTTATTTATGAGGTTAATCAAGCCTCTGAGTAAATCCCTCCTCACCTATCTACTATATTTTCACAATATGGTTACTTTTATGATTTTAATGTATAACATTTTTCCAATTGACAAGCATTAAACTTAGACAATACATTTCATATTTTTGGTGTGATGGTCTCAATACATTAGCTTATAATCCATCATTAGTCTCGCATGCATCAGTGTAACTCTCATCATGGTATTTTTATCCAAGGACCTGTAGGCTGTGTGTTTATCTTGAAATCTGCAATAAAATTTAAGGGCAGGGTCGAAAACATTAAAAAAGGTGGATGAATTAAGTCTCTCATAATTTTTTTGTTTATTTTGTTGCATTTTTTGATTTACTTCTTCTCATTTTTTAATGTATGGAGGAACAGCTTCACTATATCATGGTTGAAGAGAGCAAAAGTCAGAAAAGCAGCTTAAAGCTACAGTGTGTAATAATTACAGGGATATACAGTCAGAAATGTAATATTTTATACATAACTGTGTTATTTATCATCATCTACGAGCTCAGCCTCTTAACCTTAATATTTGCATTGCCTTAGAATTCGTTATTTATAATTACATAGGAGCGGGTCTCGCAGCCATGGAGGCAGACATCTTTGCGCTACGGCAGCGCAGAGCCAACAAACTAGCGATTGCGAGATCGCCCATTACGCTCGAAAGTAACTACGGCAAGTTGAGAGAGATGAACTGAGACGGTACTGAACAATAGATGGCAGTATTATGCCTGAGAATACAATCTGTAAAATTATCTACGTAAACAAACCTCATCACTTGAGAAGGTAGGTGATGCGGACGTCGTGGAAGACATTTTGTCCCGTAACGCTCACCGTACTGTTGGGGGGGGGGGGGGGGGGGGGGGGGGGGGGGGATGTTCATGTTGCTGCGGTCTGCAGTCTGGACGTTAGATGTCGCAAAAAATTACACACTGTAGCTTTAAAGAAAAAGAGCGCCGAAGGTGGTTTACAAAGCTACGACTTAGGTAAAGGAATCTATCAAAAAGATAATCATCAGGCATGATCTTCATAAATCAACAACACTTTTAAAACTTTTTAATATAAAATATAATGGGTGGTCAGCAGCAACAAATTTCTGGGGACTGTAAACACCACCTCATTCGTCAAAATGGTGCAAAATCATATGTACTTCCTGCGGAGGATGAGGAGAGCCCACCTGCCCCCACCCATCCTCACCACCTTCTACAAAAGCACCATAGAGAGTGTTCTGACCAGCTGTCTTACTTAATGGTGTGGAGGCTGCAGCGCCTCAGACTGGAAGAAAGTGAGAAGAATGGTTAGAACTGCCGAGGATCATTGGGGCTCCTCTTCCCTCCATAAAAGATATTTCATCTCAACGCTGCGTATCCTGAGCTTATAACATTATGAATAACTCCTCACACCCCCACTATGGACTGTTCTCCTTGCTGGCCTCTGGGAAGAGGCTTTGCAGCATTCCATGCAGAACCAGCATATTCTGCAATATTTTCTTCCCCACTGCCATCAGATTGTTGAACTGCTGGAAAAAACTAAATCTTGTCACAGACTCTGCATCACACTATCACCAAACCAAAAATACTGCATATCTGCACCATATATATGAATGCTCTGAACATCCATGTCAATGTGTTCTTTTACACCATGTTTTTTTTTCTCCCACACTGCTGTAATTTTGATCAATGTTGCACTTTATGGAATGGAAATGTTCATTTAGTGTGTGGAAAGCTGTAAAAGTTTTCTAAGTCTAATATATCCCTTTCCTTCTCTTCTTGTTGATTAGACTGTGTTGTTTATTAAATTAAATCCGGAATAAGATACAGTTTAGTTAGTGATTTTATTATGACAAAATAAAAAATGCTTTTGACACTGCAAACAAAGGACAATAACTGTTACACTGCAAAATCAAAACATGAATTAAGGCAATATTAGGATAAATTAATCAAACATGAACTAGAAAAATTATCACCATGGATGATTCTAGTTAATTATTCATTTCTTCTTCTTCTTGTAATTTTTTATTTTTATTTATTTTTATTTTTTGGCGGTTGGCAAATGTTAGGTGAGCATTACCGCCACCATCTGGTAAGGAGTGTGAAGTGCATGACAAAAACAAAATAAAATAAAAAACTATATCCTGTTATACAATTTAATCTGTTTCAAAAACTCAAATATAACCTGATATCCTCAACTTCCTGATTCCTTTTGCAGTAAATCAACAATATTTCCTACAACTCAAAATAACATGTTCCACTCTCTCATCTTCCCTACAGTCACATTTCCCTGTCTGATGTTTCCCTTTTAAAAATAATGACCTATTAAATCCTGTGTGTCCTATTCTAAGTCATGAAATAATTATCTCTTCTCTCCTGTTCCTTTCGGCTCTTCTGATTTGTCCTAATTATTCATTTTTTTTTTCATTTGGAGAATTTAAAAGCTAGACAGTGTTTTTTTGTTTTTGTAATACATTAAACCTCCAGTAAGTGGCAGCACAATTACAGTCCCTTGTTGCTGGTCGGGAACGAAGAAGAAGCTAAAGCTAGTGTTGTATGCTTGTGTGCTGCTACCAACGTCTGAGGGGACTTCAGCAGGTTTGTTCAGGTTTAGCAGCTGCTGTGTGAGCTGCTGTGTGAGCAGACTGCCAGGTTTGGGGCTCAGAGGAGAGCAAGGCTGCGCTGTTTGTTTCAGGCTCATCTGTGCAGCTGGTAAACAAACGCAGACTGACTAATCAACAGCTGATCGGATCAGCTGCTTCTTAATTTACTTGTGTGCACTTGTTATAGATTGTTTTTATTGCTACGATGTTCCCTAAATGTCTGGCTAATGTTGCAGCCTATAGAGACAGCTGCTGATGTCTGGTGTTTGTCCTGATAGGTGACAGCATGAATCAGGAGAAACTGGCTAAGCTTCAAGCTCAGGTGCGGATAGGAGGAAAGGTAAGCTGTCCAATACACATTGACCTTTAGTTGGTTTATTGTTTTTGATTTCGCAAGACGTGGAAAAAAAGTCTGAAAGTCCTACACTTAAAGAAAGTATGTTATTACATATATATTGGGTAAGTACGGATAAATGAAGGTATTTTTAAGTCTTTATCATTACTTTCCTTATTCCTTTCCTTAATTCCATCTTTTCTTATGTCCTTTTCCCATACCTCTATCTTTTGTTTCCTTCCTTTTTCATCTCTTTATTGTTTTTCCTTTTTCACATCTCTTTGTATTTTGGTGTCATTTAATCAATCATTACTTGCATCTTACCCTCTTTTCTTGCACGTGTCCGTCCTTCCTTCCTTCCTTCCTTCCTTCCTTCCTTCCTTCCTTCCTTCCTTCCTTCCTTCCTTCCTTCCTTCCTTCCTTCCTTCCTTCCTTCCTTCCTCACTATCTCCTTCCCTTCCAATTTTGTGCTGCTCCTTCATTTATCCCTTTTTTGCATCTCACTTCGCTTCATTCAATGTCTGACTTTCCATCATCCATCCTTCTGTCCAGGGTTGGAGCTAGATGGGGGGCCAGAGGTGGCCATGGCCACCCTTAGCCAATCATTGGCCACCCCCACCATTTTTTCCCCCTCTAATACAGATGGTGGCAGCAGTAATACTCTCAAGGAGAATATTTAAACTTATTAAACATTTAAATTTTGTATTTATTAGCAATTACTTGACAACTAAAGCACTGTGGTTAATTATACACATCAAGATACTAACATTAAAAGTAATATATACAGAATTCATGCTCTCTTCAGAACTAAATTTTGTGTTATATGGTGTAAAGAGAAAATTATGTGTCTCTGCAAGTCATCTAGGAGTCTTCAGTGAAATCATAGATAAGTAATTACTTTAATAATAACTTAATATAGATATTAGTCCATGTAAATATAAATTTTATAAAGAACAATTTTTAATAATAGTAGTTAAGTAATGACAATGGAAAAGATGTTCGCCCCAGAAATTTTGACCACTAAACCTTTTATTTAGACAGAATGGATGTTTAAATATACGCGTATATTTGTTAGCAAAGGCTGTAGGAAAGTAAAGTTAGTCATATTTAGAAAATATGGATGTTTTACTCATTCCGGTTTAGATTGACCCTGAGGTTCTGGCGCCTATTCGCTTTTGGCCACCCCTCAGTGTACATTGGTACATTTGACTGGCCAACCCTATTAAAATTTTCTGGCTATGCCTCTGCTTCTGTCATTTCTTTTCTTTTTTTTTTCTTTCTTCTCTTAAATCTTATTTTCTTTCTTCCTGTTTCCTGAATTAAAGCGAAACTTCTGTAGAAATATTTGCAAGAGGAAGTGTGGAAACATCGATCACACCAAAATGTGAATTTTCACTGTTTTTTTATATTAAAGTAGTTGAATATCTGTTAAAAACAAAATGAAAAAACACGCATTTCAAGGGGTTTCAACTTTCATCTGTGCTCACAACAGCTATTCTTTAAGTTATGAGGTTCGTTCTTGACCACATTGGAAAGATGGCAATGATGACATGTTACAAATGTATTCCCAAAAAAAAGCAATAAAGGCTACTTTTAATGGCCCAGACTCTCCAGTTCCAGGACACAGTAGTCTATCCATTAAAGAAGTGAAACTTTTTTTCTGTCATTATGTCACAACAGTGACATTGTATATGCCTTATTGAGATTTTTTTTGGATTACACTAAGTCCAAGTATTGCATAATTGGGAAGTAGAAGGAAAAGGAAACATGGTTCGCTGTAGTTAAAGCTGCAGAATTAGTCTCTACCAGGTTTCCACATTTTAAGACTGAGATTTGCTGAACATCTCGGTTCAGGTAGATTGGAAGAAGATCAGCTACAATCTGTTAAATAATCTCTGTTGGATCTAGGTCTGCAATTTGATTGGACTATTCTAACATAGAAATATACCTTATATCTAAGCCCCTCTACTGTA